CTGTTCCAAAACTCTACTGGCTTTTGCAAACTCTAATCTTGCCTTTCTATTTTTGGTGCTTGTCAAAGGTTTGCATCTTGCTGTGTAGCTTCTGTAATTCTGTGTCAAAGTCTCCTGCGGACAGTAGATTGTCAGCTTTCTGGAGGTTGTTGGTGATTTCACAGACACGTATTTTAGGGTTCATTTTCACAGCTTTTATGATTTGTCTGTCATCAACTACTGTTGTTTTTCTCAGCCGATCAGGTCGTTGTTGGTTGCTGATGTAGCCGGTGCTTTCCAAACTCTTGATTTCTCCATGCCCTTTGTTTTTGCTATAGCTCTAATTGACTTCCTCTTTTCTTTTAGCTGCCAAACTGCTTGCTTTTCTCTCAAAGTCAGCTCCCCCGTCTTCATCCTGGTTTGTGTGTGTCGTCATCGAATGCAAGACTCAGAATGCAGAAGCAATTGATATAACTGATACGACACATTCCCTGCTTTTAATATCTGAAGAATTAATGCAACAGGACACAGCTGATCACTTAGAAAGACCTGCGAGGCAACTGTTCCAATACTTATGCTCACATCAGATAGTGGGATGAACTCTAAAAGTGCTGATCTTCTTAGCTGGTAAAACATCTTTGTGTTGAAACATCCAATAATAAAATGTGACATTCTGTAGTTTTGTCTCATATTCATCTTTTAATCATATTTACAGATTTCTTGACTCCACAGCAAACAGAGCAATTTTGTCTTTACTGTTCCAATACTTATGGAGGGCACTATATACTGTATATATATATATATATATATATATAAAATACATGGCATACAGGTTTTAATAGAAATTACATTAAAGTATATTGTAGTTTATCATAAATGCAGTACACGTTAACCATATTTTAAACCAATACTGGTTATGAAATGGCCAAAAAAGATGTACTTAAGTCCTAAGTGGGTCAAAAAGCACTCATAGCTAATTGTATTTAAATTTAAACTATAATGCATTTTCATTTAGTTTGAATTAACAGGCATTTAGTGTCTGACAACATTCAGTTCTGACTTAAGTACATTTTTTAAGTATATAATTGCTGTAATAAGTACACTTTTTAAACTTATGCTGAAGTGCACTTCTTTTTCACCTTTGTATAGCTATTGTTATATGGAGTATGTTTTGATATCATATGTTTTGTATGAACAGATATTTCCTCAGCACTGAGGATGACCCTAAAAGAAGACATCTCTACAGGTACACACAGCACATACATATTCATGTTTTGTGCCGTGTAAAGTTTGTCTTGTGCTGTCACAGGCTTGTTCTCGCTGACAGTGTTAATGTATCTGTGGTTGTTCCAGCGCAGACACGGTGGGCACCTTCAACCGCCGCTGTCTGTCCTGTGATTTCACTGACAGCTGCGGGTACGTCAGTGGCTTCTTCAGTCCCAGCATGGACTATTTTCTGCTCAGTTGTAAAGGTAGGCATCTCTTTGTTTCTATTTTGCTTGTTCTTACTACCACGGGTATACGTGCGAACAAGATAACATAATATATGAACATATACTGTATGATGTGTAGTAGTAATTAGAATGGTACTTTTTTTGTAAAAAACGAAAGAAATGAAAGGTCAAGAAATACTTGCGTAAAGTCTTGGTTTGGCTGTAAAGCTGAGAATTAAAATGAGTCTCTGAACCCACCATTGCCCTGACACATTTTCAATAAACGCTTGTGAGTTGACACTGCGGTGAATGTCGATTTAGATCCCATGAACCTTTACTTTTATATTGTCTCCTGACAAGCTTCAGTGTTACGCTAGAAGAATAGAGAAAGGGATGGAGACAGTGCGAGAAGACGCATTGTCAAAGAGCATGTTGTTATTGTTCAACAGTGAAGTTTTCATTCTGCAAAGTGCATTGATTATTTGGAGGGCTTGTTTCTATAGCAGCTGATGTGTTCTGAAGGCCTGAATGCTTGTATTCACTGAACCGTTGTGACAGAACTCCTGGAGAAATGACTGTTGTGTTTACGATCAGTGCTGTTGTGCCACTCGTTAAAGTTTCACTGCAGATGCTCATTAACAAAAGCTTTTAAGCACCTTTTTCAGTTTAGTGGCAGGCTGTTTATAAAATAAACTTTAGAGAACTTGTAAAATGACTGGATAAACTGCTCTTGAGTCTTGCTGACATATAAACTATGACTTAATACATAACAATCACATACCTTTATTTATACTATGGTTATTAGCTTTGGATAAAAGCATCTGCTAAAATGCATAAATGTAGTTATAAAAATTGTTGTTTGTATGTTTGTTTTTAAGGTAGTTTCGAATAGTTTTGATTTTACATAAATAGCTATAACATTATTTTTCTTAATTATCATATCTCACTTTTAGCATAACACTGCAAATTGTTCAAACACTCTATGAGAAACTGTGTGATGATCCAAACTAGATTTTTAACAAGAAAATGTGGGTAGGCAGGCAGAAATTGAAAGACAGATCGCCAAGTAATTGCACAACTTTCTGTAAGAAGAATGTTGATTTGAAGTATCATGTAGCACAAATGATTCAGGCTGTGTTACATATAGAAATGTAAAGGTTCTTTCATATTTACCGTTGTTTAGCAAATTTCCCAGGTGAAATCCAGAAATCCATAGGAATCCACAAAATGTAGAGTTTTGCATGAATGTGAAAGATTTCCCCATGCAGATTTTAGTCATTTTTAAGTTGGTCACAAGAATTCTCTGCACTGACCAACAGAAAGATGCTTGGTTTGAAAGTGCTTCCTCCATCAATACACTATTGACCATAAACAATAGACCTTTTTTGTCAGAACAATAATACTTTAGGGCAGTGGTTCTCAACTCCAGTCCTGGGGACCCACTGATCTGTACGCAAAGTATGCAAAGCAGTGGACTGGATTTAAGAACCACTGCTATAGGGGTAAGGGCTGTTCAAATCTCTTAAAGGGATAGTTCACCCAAAAAATGAAAATTTGCTGTTAATTCACTCATGCTCAGGCCATCCAAGATGTACAGCAGGTGGATTTTTTTTCTTCAGTGGAACAGTAAAGATTTGACACCATGGTCCTTGGTGATTCATAAAATGCAAGTCTGTTTCTACTGTCACTTTGAGAGCCAAAAACATATATAGGCAACATAAAATGAATACCCTTGGCTCCTGACAATATATTGAAGTTTTATGAAGCAAAATTATAAGTCTGTGCATGTTTTTGTTCCCGCACATATGTCATTAAGCAACAGAAATCTTGCACTCCTGACTCACATGAAGCTGTTCAGGGCTGTTTGCCTGAGGCTATGGATTACAGGTAATAATATTAAGTTTCTTGCACAGACATCGTTTCGCTTCATAAGGCCTCAATATATCGTAAAGTGTCACAGTATTAATGTTGTGTTGCCCGTATATGATTTTTTGACTCTCAAAGTGACAGCCGTGGACTTTTATGAATCGCCAAGGACCATTAAAGCTAAAATTATTTAATAGCCTGAGGGTAGGTTAACAGTACATTTTTATTTTTGGGTGAACTATCCCTTTAACCCTATGTATTAGTTATAGTAGTAGTGAAGTCAACACTGTTAATAATTGCAAATTAGTCATCAAAGTTCAAGTGCAAAAATGTATTTGATCCAGTTGCTGCAACAGGTGATGTGAGTATGTGCAATTGTGCATTGCATCAGTATCTTGCATGAAGAATTTATATAAAAGATTTGGACAGGAAAGACGCATTCTGTGAGACACAATTGCTACAACTCCCAGCTGTGAGAATTACTGATTGACGAACAAAAATAACATGCATACTTTTGCAAAGCATTTGTTCAAACTATGAAAACCAATGAATGTCCTGTGTCATTAATTATTGATGATTATGTTGGCATATTGTCAGGTCCTGATGTTCCGTATGTGACGGTTTACAGCACCCATGACAGACAGAGTGAGTATCCAGCTTTCCTCCTCTCTATATTGTGTGTTTGTTTGTGTGTGTGTTTGAGGTCTGGATGATCTGCTGGGTCTTACTCCTGTCATTTGACTGCTTACCACTGAGTAGCATACACACACACAAACTCACACACACACACTTACAGTACACTCACAAACAGGTCAAAGATTTAGAAGTTTCACATCACCCACTGATGAATTATTAATAGTGAAAAAAAGTGAGTGATGTCACGGCTAATTATGGTAACCCATACTTGGAATTAACCCATCCAAGTGCACACACACACACAGCAGTAAGTAGTGAACACAGACCCGAAGCAGTGGGCAGCCATTTTTTGCTGCTGCGTACGGGGACGTGAGCAAGGCACCGAACTGGGGGTTCGGTGCCTTACTCAAGGGCACCTCAGTCATGGGTATTGAAGGTGGAAGAGAGCGCTGTACATTCACTCCCCCCACCTACAATTACTGCCGGTACTGAGAATTGAGCTTGCGACCTTTGGGTTACAAGTCTGACTCTCTAACGATTAGGCCACAACTGCCCTAGGAGGCATTATAGGGAGGCATTTGATAAAAATGTAATTGCAAATCGATCAAAGGTGACAGTAAAGATTTTTATAATGCTACAAAATATTTCTATTTTAAATAAAAGATTTTTTGAGCTTTCATTTGTAAATGTTTAAAGATGCTTATGAATTTCAAAAAAGTATCAGTTTTCACAAAAATATTAAGCAGCACATCTGTTTTCAACATTGATAATAATAAGAAATGTTTCTTGAGCACCAAATCAGCATATCAGAATGATCTCTAAAGGATCATGTGACAGTGAAGAGTGGCATAATGGCTGCTGAAAATTCAACTTTGCTTCACAGGAAGAAAAAAAAAGCATTTTAAAATATATTAATAGAGAACAGTTATTAAAAATTGTAATAATATTTCACAATATTACTATATTTCTGATCGAATAAATGCAGCCTTGATGAGCCTTGACTTATCCAAAAACATTGTTAGAAAATCTGACTGAATCCAAAATTTTAAACGGTCAATGTAAGTTATAGGCTATCAATAGAAAGCAAGTAAAATAGCATTGTAGTGCATGTCAATGGATGGGTAATAGACAGTGGTGGAAAGAGTACTGAAAAAATATACTGAAGTAAAAGTACCATTACCTTCCAAAAAATGTAGTGTGAGTAGAGTAAAAGTACTTGCTCAAAAAACTACTTGAGTAAGAGTAAAAGAGTAGCCTATTTAAAAGTACTCATGAGTAGCGGAGTAAAAGTACCGATACATCACTTAAAATGTACTCAAGTAAAAGTAAAAGTACACAATTTTTAAACTACTCAAAAAAGTACAATTACTGATAAAAACTACTTAATTACTGTAACGTGAGTATTTGTAATTCATTACTTCACACCCCTGGTAATAGATGCAGGGAACATTTTATTTTGTGACTTAATTAACCTCAGTCTCATCTGTGACATTACCCCCACCCCACCACCACCACCACCACCATACAAAGAGACTCTTTGCATGTGTTTTTATCATTTATCATTTATCCTATATTTGTGGTGCATCCAAAAGTGAAAAGGAAGGTGGCAAAGTATAGATAACTGCTCGAAAAAGTGTCCCACAAGGCCACAATTCATTTTCGGTGAGAAGGTCAAGCAGAACGAGTGGACGCAATTCTGTGAAACTGCCAGAATATGGAGCGAGCACCTGATGCAGAGAACACTGCCTCGATCGCCTACTCCTCAAAGCTGTTTAATTATCACAATTCATTCATTTTATACAGTCATAGAGTCATATTTCATTGCTCGGTCATTTCTACAGTTCAGTGGATTTGGTCTCCATGAAGCAATACTGCATTTTTTACATAAAACGTTAATCAGTTTTCATGCCACGTGATTTCCCATGCATACAGTAGGTGTTGACACAAATTGATTAGTACCTGAGAAAATGATTAGTACCTAAGAATAATTTGTACTGACAAATTCCCATGTCCCAGTCATGTTTTCTCAACTTCACATTGAAATAAGGGTTACATATATAGTTACATATATACATTTTTTTTCTAAATTAGAAGTTTTGAGTGTTAGTGTATAAATTTACTTGACATAAAATACAATTTATTGTAATATTTTAATGAGTAAAACCATTTAATTACTTTATGTCTCTCAAACTCCAGTTCACCCTGTTAGATTAGTGCTACTTGCCATTTAAAATGTTAAGCTCATGCCCTAAATTGCATGACTTGATTGGGGGGGCATACAAACTTTGTATGCGTTTTTGCCATTCATTTACAGAACAGCAAAAAACAGGTTTCACAGTGCAAGTGTGTTATTGTCTTTATTGCCGTTATTGTCTTTGTGCAAACTACCAAAATGTGAAAATGGTAATGTCATGCGCATGTGTATTACATGTTCAGTGTGCAGACGCATAGTGTTTTTTTCTTTTTTTAATGACGTCACCAATTACTGGCCTGGCATGCATTATATAGTGTTTTTAGTTATTTTCACAGATCAGTGTGAATGTGGATTGTTATGACAATGTTATATAACAAATTATATAACTGTATAAGAAACTTTTAAAAAGTTCAAGTTAAAGACTTTTTTTTTCCTACATTGTTGTCATGTAAACTAACCTTCAAATGTCCACCCTGTTACACATTGCAAAGTAAAAATGCCATCTAACAGAATAAAAGTCCTAGACCACATGCAGAATATTTGGTCAGGATTGTGTTATACTATCCTGAGCTTGACCAGTGTGTTTTTCAGATAACATATTTTTTTTCAAGCAAACCTGCTCAGTCCAAAATTCACTAAACTGCAGTCACTAATTTAGTCCCTTAAAACTCATCTTTGATAATCATAATGGCATTTTTCCACCCCATAAAAATAATTTCTTTGTGTCTTGAATATGGCTTACACCTTTACCTCATTTAGTATACGTTGATCCATGAATATGTTAACTAGTCCCTGCCTCCACTCAATCACACCAACTCAGACTGAAGTTGCAAAAGCTACATAATAGCAAGTGGCAATACTGAATAAATGGATATCGGAGAGTGAGTCCATGAGTAAATCTATTCAAATTCTGAATAGATTATAGCCTACAAAGCATGCAAAGTGCGCTCCTCTTATAATCACTGAAAAGTCACTTATCTTAGTTCAACATGATCTCACAAAGTTCTGTTATAATCAGTGAAGGTCTGCACTGACTGCACAAACTCTGGTGTTTTGACTGGTGAGTGGATTCTAACTTAAACACCAATTGCATTTCATGAAATCAACAGATATGCCTGTGATTGGCTACATTGTTAAACGCTGCAAAAATACATTGTAAATAGAAACCTATGTGAAGATAGAAATATAAAAAGTCCCACCCCGCAATTGGCGGGATTGATTACATGCTTGTGACGGTAGGAAACAGGAGCAGTTTCAAACCGCATCTTTAGTACACTGCAGTTTTTAGGAGAAAATGCTCAGCAATGGTGTTAACTGATGAATTTTCATGTGGCTTTAAGCATATTAAGAAACCAGACAGATATGTAAACAACATTAAAAACTTGATTTTCACCACAGGGGGTCTTTAAATTTAACATTTTGCTGGGTATCATAACATCCTTGGTTGTCACTCACATTAATAACCAAACTGCTTAGAATTAAGCACTCAAATGAAGAGTGACAAGTTTAGGAAGATGCTCTCATTACCAACCTCCACGTTAAAACACTGGCACAGTCAGACTCTCTCTCACACACACACACACTCGCATACTTGTCTCATTGCATTATATACCCACAGCATGTCAACTGACGATCAGAGCTGCTTCCAGGCCTACCATAGACCGTGTGTGATTGAATAGCCCTACACATGCCTGCTTGCACAGTGAGAGCACTTACAGATGATTGGATTATTGCCAGACGTGCCATGACTTCCATAGAAATGTGACCTCTCTGTGTAAGAGGCTGGTAATTGTGTTATTATGTATATAATATCCTGTAAGCCCAATGATATTACAACGAGAGAGTGATTTAGTGTGACGGTCCGTCACAGAAGTCATCTCACAGAGCTCACATCTGTGTGTGTGGGTAGAATGTTTATCAATTGTTTGTTTACAATTTAATCTAGAGTTCTTACCCTGTCATTTCAGATGTTTTTCCCATCCATTCCCTTCTCTGCCAGGTCCAGTCAGTAAATGCTAAATGTGCCACCAAGGTCAAATTCAGATGACTTACACGACGCTCATACGGATCCATCTCTATATTGACATAAAAATTGTTGCTGTTTTTCTAATGTGCGGCTATGTCAATAGCATTGGTGCAATGGGAGCAAGTGTGCTTTGTGAGGCTTGAGTCTGAGCAGGCACTGATAAGCCTGTCTTAAAATGAAACCCTCAACCGCAATGTGCTCTTAATTGTTACGTGCACTTCCATGACTCTATCGCTGCTGCTCAGAATGGAAGGTCTCCATGTTTACAGCAGCAGACGGGATATCTGCTCTGTTTAGTCGCTCTCTATCAGGAAAGCCAGCTGCTCACAGGTCTCTCACAACCTCTGAACATCTACAACTGTTAATCCTGTAACTGTTTCTCATTTATGTCCCAGAGCAATTAGCTACTCATTTCCTCAGGTTTTGTGAGTGCTTGCAGATGCTTAGTTTGAGATAAACAATGCATTTTGCATTGACTTGGTTAATAGCTTGGGAATAGCTCCCAAAAATTACATTTGTGCCTTGATTTAGTCAATAATTATTCACCCTCATTCCACATCTGTGTAAGTTTCTATAAGGAAATGTTTAGCAGAATGTTCACGCTGCTCTTTCTTTTTAAAACATACACTAACCTTGGATATCCCACCTCAAAATAAATAAATAAATGATTAAGCCTAAAGGAATATTTCATATTTAATACAAGTTAAGCTCAATCGACAATATTTGTGGCTTGCATCTCCTTTTCTTTAAAATAAATGATTGAAAAATAAACTTGAAGCTTATAATTTTATAAAAGCATTTACATTAATTCTTCTGTTAAAAACATCAGCTGTACATTTGTTCTTGTCTTTTACATCCGTTTTAAGATTTTAGGCTTAATGTCACGGCAACAGTTAGAAATATATTAGACATAATAAAAGTTTAGCACATGCATAGACAATTACGCTGCTTACAAAGAAACAATGGAATGAAATTAATATCAAAATAAGAGTCTTTGAACAAAACTAGTCATAACAATGCTGCTGTAACAGTGAGTATTTTATAAATTACTGTATATAAATTGGCCATATTTACTACCATTGTAAGTTACCTCACTGTAAAACAGATTCTTGCAATGCACAATCACATAATCACCATTATACCACAAGTGTTGCATATACACAGTATATAGACACAGGTCATATCAGTGATTCCAAATGTTGGTGCAATATTTAAAAGAGATTTGAGAGCTATAATTATAACTCCAACTGGATTCGTCTGAAAGAAGAAAGTCATATACACCTAGGATGCATCGGGGGTGAGTAAAACGCAGCCTAATTTTCATTTTTGGGTGAACTAACCCTTTAAGCTAAACGACTTTTATTGGTGGTTTGGAAATTTTCATTTTTGGGGTAAACTGTTCCTTTGAGGAACTGTTTTTAATCACACAATGATTGGTTTCTCTCTTTCTGCAGAGGTGCGTGACATCGAGTTGAATCTGAACTTGAGGAGAACGGTGAACTCGATGCAGATGCCGAAAGTGGAATACAGAGAGATAAACATAGAGGATTACAGTATGTTATCTAAATTGTGTTGGTGTTTAAGAAGGATATTAATATAATAGAGATGCAGATGAATGTCTTTGATTGTCATACACAGGCCTCAGCATGCAGATACTAAAACCTGCAGGCTTCATAGGCACCTTACACTACCCACTTCTGCTCCTTGTGTGAGTACATATCAATATCTGCAACATTTTCTTCATTAATATGTCAGTGTTCCAAATAGTGTCTCTGAACTCCCTCAGGAATCACCATCTGGGTTGGATCACTCATTAAAAAGAGGCATAATCTACACTTCTCTTGCATGCTATTATTTCCCAGAGTCCTACTTATAATGTTAGTCAAGGTTTCTTGCACCCAAAACCTAATTTAGTTGTTAATTTACTCACATTTTTTGCTGCTGAAAGATTTATATAAATAAATTAATCTTGCATGATTGCCAATATATACACCAGTATTTGGCTACTTTTAGAATAGAACTGTGCCAGATTGATAAATTAAGATTAGTCCTTTTTGTTGTAAATATTATTTAAATTAATGTAATATAAAAATGAAAGTAAAAAAAAAAGACATTTTATTTCAATTTAAATGTTTAAATTCACTTTTTAAGAAAACAATAATTAACAAATGATTAAAAAATATATATATTATATCTGAATAGGCCAATAAAACCCATAATGGACAATGTCATGCCAAGCTGCTGAATACCAAATAGGTGTCATTAATATTTAAATAGGGGTGGTCAGATGTTAACATGCTCATCGTTGAGACAATTTCTAGTCATTTTTGCAATTAAGTTTGAATAAATGGTCCAGTGAGGAAGCTTTGAATCATGAACTTTAGAGTTTGCCTGTAGAACATTGAGCTCTATTATATCAAAGAGCAAATCCTGTTTTCCATGATATAAGTCCTTTAAGGCGTGTGCTGCAGGTCATCCTATTAACACACAAGCAGCAGTTCCTTTCCTGCTCTCTGTTCCTGCGCTGCACTTCAGGTCTCATCAAGAGTAAGAGTGTAACTCTGAAATGGACTTAAGTCAGTGCTATTAATCTTGTCTTTTCAGCCGTACACTCTCAGCCACTGTAATTACACCACAAACGAGTTCACCTGCAGCCCGCCTTCAATTAACCCACTGCACACATCATACACACCGCAGCAGACAATCACCTGTGTTCTCTATAGAGCTGCCAGCACAGTGACTCTATATTGTGTGTTAGGAATATAACGGCTGTCTCAAAACCCAGTGAGCTGCATACCGACCTTTGTAAAAAAAGAAGTACACTTTAGCATACTTTTTAAAAAATAATACTATTGTTATTTATAAATAATATACATTAAAATACTTTAAAGGAATATATACTTTTAATATAGTATAAAAGAATATAGTTAAGTGTTAAATGAATACTGTATGAATTTAACATTTAAAGGAATAGTGCACAAAAAAATGAAAATGAGCTAAATATTAACTCAATATCAGGCTATTCAGGATGTAGATGAGTTAGTTTCTTCATCAGAACAGATTTGGAGAAATTTAGCATTACATCACTTGCTCACCAATGGATCCTCTGCAGTGAATGGGTGCCGTCAGAATGAGAGTCCAAACAGCTGATAAAAACATCACAATAATCCACAAGTAATCCTCACAACTCTAGTCCATCAATTAACATCTTGTGAAGTTAAAAGCTCATTGTTTAACTTCAAACCATTGTTTTTGGCTTAAATATGGGTCCTCTATCCATAATAGTGCTTTCTCTAGTAAAAGATTCATCTCGTCTGAATCAGGAGAGAAATATGCACGGATAAAGCACTATTTACAAGTGAAAACAGTCCAAAACTGCTCTAAACAAATATGTTGGTGGATTTTGACAATAGAGGATGAAATTTATCACAGGAGAAAGCATTATTATGGGTTATGAATTTGTATTTTGGCCAGTTAAAATGCCTTATGTTTATTACAAACACACAGCTTTTTACTTAACAAGACATTAAAGTACACTACAAATACTTAATACTATTAAGCAGACTTCTTTTTCACAAGGGTAGACAGCATTTTTGGACATCACAGACACATTCTGATTAAGCTGACTGGAAATGCATTTAAATTCAGCTAGTCTGACTTGGAACATGATATCTCAGAGAATGTGGCTATCATTGCCAGAAATGTTTTGTAAGTCTTAAACTTAAATGCTTGCATTCTAAAGAAAACTCTCTCTCGTACTCTCTCGTACTCTCTCTCTCTCTCTCTCTCTCTCTCTCTCAGAGATGGGACTCCAGGCAGTCAGTCGGTCTCAGAGCAGTTCCACATTGACTGGGCGTCAGTGCTGGTCAGCAGTTTTGGGGTGATTGCAGTGCGCTTTGACGGCCGTGGAAGTGGCTTCCAGGGGACTAACTTACTCCATAAGGTGCAGCGCAGGCTGGGAATGTTCGAGGAGAAAGACCAGCTGGATGCCCTCAGGTAGTTGAGGAGCCATCTGCGTCCAACACACAGTGAACATCCATCAGTGCCAACACACAGCTGCACGTGCAGACACATGTGCTGCATCTCCTTAACCGCATAGCAGATTTAGATATACCACGGTCTGACTTCAATGAAACTCAGTGATATGACCGACACTGATTATTCTGCATGTGAGAAGGTCCAGCTAGTGTCAGACCGTTTACCATTTTGTCTTTGTGTCTTGCAGTATTTTGATGCAGGAGCCATATATTGACAAGACCAGAATTGGAGCTTTTGGGCAGGTAAATACTTGTGGTATTTTACTGTTATTACTTTTCCAGACAAGATAGCTGGTCATTTATGTACACAGATGTTTCTTTGCCTCTCTCATATTCACAGGAACACAGAAAGTGCATTAAAGCTCTGTTCCAAATCCTTGTAAATTGCATCCTAACTGAAATGGAACTTGACTGATTTGAACGATATATACAAAACATAACGCTTCGGAAATGCTATAAAATAAAGCTACACTGTCAGTGTGACCCATTCAACAGCATTTCTGATGATGAGAGAGTCCACAGAGCCTGTCTGTATTTTGGCACGTCAGTTAAACTCTTCCTCTCTCCCTAACTTCAGTCCTGAAGAAGAGCAGAACAAATTGGTTTCATGCAGTAAGAAGAACCTAATTGAGACCATCTTAATTTCTGGCTACATAGTTTTGTTTTTGCCCGTGCCTATTTCTTTCCTCGAAAGATTGTCGTTTTTCAAAGGATTAATGAATGCATGTTCAAAGGCTGAATTCCTGCCTCACTTTAATGAGCACAGACCGTATTAGAAACTGTAACTAGTAATGAGAGTTGTGCTATCTCAGAGGTCCAGAGTTGAGTATTTTGTGTTTCAGGTGTATGGAGGTTACGTCACCAGCCTTCTGCTCAGCTCTGAGGACTCCATGCTCAAGTGTGCTGCAGTGCTCTCACCCATCACAGACTTTGCACTATATGGTACGGTTTGTGTGTGTGTGTGTGTTTCTCTTATTAAGACAAATGGAGGGTCACTGTCCTGCAGACTTTAGCTCCAAACAGTGTTGGGAAGGTTACTTTGGAAATGTACTAGGTTACAGATTACAAGTTACCTTATTTAAAATGTAATAAGTAGTGTAGCTATTTCAATTACTTTATTAAAGTAATGTAACTGATTTTCTAAATTTCTAATGAATCTTTTCAACTGTTATCATTGTGAAACATTTAAAGCAGGCTGGGTTATCAACACTGATTACTGTCAGACTTTCAAAATACTTCTTCACTTGAATTAAGCTTATAATAATTAAATTTCAAAGCACAGCCACCACAAAATCTTCAGACTTCATGCCTTCAGCACCTCTTTTTACTTTGAGATCATTCTGAGGTTAAATACAGATTTAAAATCATAACAAGAGACCGTTTAATAGCTATACTATTTCTGAAATCAAATCTTTGCATAGCTATGACAGGAAACACTGGTATCTAACAATGCCTTTGAAAAAAAAGTTAATCAATCTTATCTGTATGTGTGTGAAAATATTCAGATGTAACCTCCTTTGTAATCATTAACATTTTCATAAGTAACGGATTACGGTTAAATTTATTTTGTAATTAAATTATGTGATTCCGTTACATGTAACTAGTTACTCCCCAACACATGGCTCCAACACACATGTCTGGAAGTTTCTAGTGATTGGCTTGGTCCTTGATTAGCTGTTTGAGTTGTTTAATTAGAGCTAGAGCTAAAGTCTGGTGGCCCTTCAGGAGCAGGATTAGACACTCATTAGACACTCAAGTACTCATAAAAGAGTAGGCAAAAAGTACCCGGATGACCTACTACAGGTACTTCCAGCGTGATTCTGAATAATGCATACGATGGACACTTTACTGTCCCATGATTCCACATGAGAGGATTTATGAATTGCAGTGACTCGATGCAACTGTCATTGGTAGGTCACGTGACAATTACAGCATGGCAAATTTAATGCATTCAGATTACATTCATACTACACACATTCATACTATATGAAATTTACTCTTTTTGCGGTTGCGATTGACATGTCTTGTGAACTGTTTTTAACCAAAATGCCACCTAAATAAACAAAAATGCCCCACAAATTCAAGATAAAGAGGCAAAAATTGGCCCTGCACAATTGAACTAAATCTATTATGGCTGTCGCGATTAAAATAAAATGTGAAAATGAATTAAAAGTGTCAATTCGTGGAATTACGGAATCTGCACACGTTGAATCAGATTACTTATGTTTAGGTACAGGTACTTCCAGCGTGATTCTGAATAATGCATACGATGGACACTTTACTGTCCCATGATTCCACATGAGAGGATTTATGAATTGCAGTGACTCGATGCAACTGTCATTGGTAGGTCACGTGACAATTACAGCATGGCAAATTTAATGCATTCAGATTACATTCATACTACACACATTCATACTATATGAAATTTACTCTTTTTGCGGTTGCGATTGACATGTCTTGTGAACTGTTTTTAACCAAAATGCCACCTAAATAAACAAAAATGCCCCACAAATTCAAAATAAAGAGGCAAAAATTGGCCCTGCACAATTGAACTAAATCTATTATGGCTGTCGCGATTAAAATAAAATGTGAAAATGAATGAAAAGTGTCAATTCGTGGAATTACGGAATCTGCACACGTTGAATCAGATTACTTATGTTTAGTTTTTTTTTGCAGCAGCAGCAGCATTGAGCATTATAACCATTCACACACGTTTCTGTTGATATGGCTAATCACAGGCGTTAAGATTAGTCAACGAGTTTTGCTTGCGCTCTCACTGACTGAATTCTGCACGCTTGCGAATTCTCTCATCATAAACAACAAATTGCAGATACAATGTAAATAAGAGATGCATTCCGCAGCTTCAGTGATTACAACAAGAGTTTTTGCATAACTTGCACTAGACTGGACTAATGCCATAGGCTGACAAGTTTGTTCATAATATAATGTGACATTTCCCCACAAAAAAAAAAAAAAGGTTTTACATTTGTATTCTATAAATCAACATTAATAATCATAATTACAATAACAAGAGCAATAATTGACAATTATTTTTGTTTTTCTTTTTTTGTCTTTGTTTTATTTATTTATTTATTTATTTTATTTTATCTTATTGTATTATTATTATAATTTTTTTTTTGCAATTACAATTAGGCTATAACAGGTTGTTGTTATTGGTAAGAGTTTAAAGTATTCTGATTGATTGAAGAAATTGGTTAAATTTATGCATTTGACATTAAAGACAAATACAACCAATAAGGTAATTCTAAAAAATTGCCCTTACAAATGTAAAAAAAATGGCCCTTTAGAACAATTCCGGGTTGAAATATTGGAAGTAAATATAAGAGTTTACATCACAGGAAATAATTATTGGTTGTTTAATTTTCCTTGCATAAAACATGTCAAATATGAAATATTTAGCTACTTGCATCTTACCTCACGCTCTTGCACTGTTAAAAACTGAAGCGATGTGCTGGTTAACAGTCCACAGTTAACAGTCTGTTAACAGCCCACCTTCTTGAGCTGTTAGACCGCTGAGGTGGAGCAGCCTAAAAATATAACTTTTGAAACTTTACAGCTCCACAGAGAGGAGAATAGAGATCTGTTTGGGTCCATCTGATCCTCAGATGTAGATACAGTATGAATATCTCAGTAAGCACAAGACATCTGTTGAAAGGATTTGAGCTTATTATTATGTACCAACGACTATAAAAAGGGCAGATTCACATGCATTCTAAATCAAAACATCTGCTGAATGTCCTTTAACATCCAGCAGGGAACGATTCACAAATGTTTTGTGGAAGATAAAGTACTCTAAAAAATATTTCACCTTGCAAACTACATGCATATGTGTGATATCTATGGAAGCCCATTTCCGCCGCTGAGTAAAAAATAAAACAAAGGTTATTGCGACTTTTTATCTCACAATTCTGACTTTTTTCACAGAATTGTGAGATACAAACTCACAATTCTTTTTTTTTTTCTCAGAATTGCGTGATATAAACTCACGATTGCGAGTTATAAAGTCAGAATTGCGTGATATAAACTCACAATTGCGAGTTATAAAGTCAGAATTGAGATGTAAATTCTGACTTTTTCTCGCAATTGCGAGTTTATATCTCGCAATTCTGACTTGTTTTCTCGCAATTCTGACTTTATAACACACAATTGCGAGTTATAAAGTCAGAATTGTGTGATATAAACTCGCAATTGCGAGTTAAAGTCCAATTGTGAGATGTAAATTATGACTTTTTTTCTCGCAATTGCGAGTTTATATCTCGCAATTCAAGTGTATATTTTTTTTAATGTGATTGTTGGTACATTTTACCAGTTTTTACCATACTTTCAAAACAAAAATTAAAATAGGAAAAATATGCAATATGAAAATAATTGAAGACAAAATGTGTTTTACTGAGAAAAAACAAGATTTGGTTTTTAAAAAGCCTTTTTCCAAAAGGTACATCTGGAAAAAGGGGGGGTCGTCTTATAATCAGGGTCGTCTTATATTCGGGCCAATACGGTGTATATCATCAGTAATGGGGAATATCATCAAATTTTCCACCCCCAGCTTCTTCTGATTACTTCTACGTTGTTGTAAAACTGGCATTTATGCACTGAGGTGACATGCTCTATTTGTAACTTGACGCAATATCTTGAAAATAGTGCAAGATGCTGAAAAAACAGTGAGATGTGATGCAAGATGTCACAACAACTGAACCGACAATTTAAAAAACCAGTACAGGCGCAATAATGCATCCTGTGCAAATGTCTCGGAGGAGGAGGAGGAGGAGTGTCCGATTCATCATCCATTTCTGTAGCTTCCTGTCTGTGCGTGGCAGTGGATCCCATCAGTATTCCGAGAGCAGGCAGGAGGACCGAAGCACTCCAAGAACTCTAAAGAAACAGAGGGATGAAAAATGAAGCATGTGTGTGTTCATCATAAACAATACTTCGCCTCTCACAGCGGCAACAGCACAGAAATCTGCTCATAAGTCAGCCGGTGCATCAGCGTGTATTGTGAAATGGCCATGCGGTGATTTTTATCAAAGGAAATGCTCGGAAATTAACTCTGCCTGTGACAAATGTCACTGTTGACTGATACTGTTCTTCTTTCCTGCTTTCAGCTTCAGCTTTCTCAGAGAGATATCTAGGCCCTCCCAAGCCAGATCGGAGGGCATACGAGGTACATTTCCTGTTTTATAATCTGTATTTTGTATTCACCGTACTGACAACACTTACTGTGTACTCTTTAATATTTCCACAGATGGCCAACCTTGCATACAGAGCGTCTCAGTTCATCGATAAGAAGTTTTTAATCATTCATCCAACAGCAGATGGTACATTTCCTTTGGAAGTTTCATCCAATTCTTACAATGTCTTTGTAAAAGCAAGAACACTGTCAGCTAACACGCATCTCATTTACCTTTTAGAACAAGTTCATTTTCAGCACACAGCCAAATTCATCTCCAGGCTAATCAGCGAGAGAGCAAATTACACTCTGCAGGTAAGAGATCTTGAGAAGTTTAAGAGAATTTCTTAGTTTCTTCATTTTAGAGGCCATTCACACAGAACGTGGTTTTGTGTTTAAAAAGTGAGATGCATGCATCTTTATTTGATCTAAATTTCCATTAATTTTTTTAATATAATAAATTGTGTATTTAAAAGGTAAATACTTTGATACACATTTAAACTACGATTAAGTTTTATTTGCGTATTCATCGATAAGAAGTTTTTAATCATTCATCCAACAGCAGATGGTACATTTCCTTTGGAAGTTTCATCCAATTCTTACAATGTCTTTGTAAAAGCAAGAACACTGTCAGCTAACACGCATCTCATTTACCTTTTAGAACAAGTTCATTTTCAGCACACAGCCAAATTCATCTCCAGGCTAATCAGCGAGAGAGCAAATTACACTCTGCAGGTAAGAGATCTTGAGAAGTTTAAGAGAATTTCTTAGTTTCTTCATTTTAGAGGCCATTCACACAGAACGTGGTTTTGTGTTTAAAAAGTGAGATGCATGCATCTTTATTTGATCTAAATTTCCATTAATTTTTAAAATATAATAAATTGTGTATTTAAAAGGTAAATACTTTGATACACATTTAAACTACGGTTAAGTTTTATTTGCGTACAGTCGGTTGAACCAGCTCCTGGTTAAGCAGTTTGTTCTCAGCATACACTATTTTTTTCTCAGTATACACAATTTTAATATGTTTTTAGGCCACAGTGTTATTTTAATATCATTGAGAGACTAGTATAGTTTTTATTAATGTATTACTTTTTATTTTTAATAAATCTTTTATTCTAATTTTAAAGTTTGTCATTTTTTTTTATTTGTATTAACTTTTTAAATATGTCTATAGTTTTATACATTTTTATTTTAGTTTTAAGTATTTTTGTACATCAAGTTAAACTAAACGAAAATTTGATTTTTCCTTGGCAACTAGCTGAAATAAAAATTTAGGTTTTTGTTTAATTACATAAAATATACATTTATAATTTATAATAAATCATTTATAATAACACGTTTTATGGTTTTAGTTTTAGGTGCTGTATGTATTTTTTAATACCATAATATTTTTGCAAATATTTCGGAAACATGCTAAGTTTACATATTTGTTTCTCTGAAAAACAATGCTACAGCCAGTTTTCTACTCTGAAATGCGCGTTCCATGTCAGAATGTCTGTTTCCAATATTTTTGAATTTGCATCTCTTGGAACGGCTGATTTGCAACAGATAGTGCAGGCCAGAGTGTGCCACCATTATAAGTTTAAGAGTTATTAATACATGAAGGCCTAATACATGAGATATTCAAGATGAGGCAAGCGTGGTGTTTATTTTTAACAAACATAAAAATATCATCATCATTTAAAGAATTCAACAATATATTCAAATCAACATGTTTAAAAAAATAACTATATTTAGTTAAATATAATTAATTTGTATGATGATGTAATCAATAACTATTATAATTCGAAAAGTATAGAATAATGAAGAATAAAAACATTTTTTGAATTTTTGCAAAATATACAGAGAATCAATCAATCAATCAAATTAGATTACTCAGAGTGCTCCATGTGCACTTTTGCTATGAATAACATTCCATGGTAACATTGACTTCTCTAATTGGTTTGAATACAGGTATTGTAGTTATTCACTAGACATTCCACAATTAAATACTACTTTTTCTACACTGAATTTGAAAACACCCTTGTGATTTATTCAGAAGCATATATCATCACATGACATCCTCAGAGCTGATGGCAGGAAAGGTTTATACGTCATTGGTAAAAATCAATTTCTCTATGGAATAAATGAATGGGGGTTTAACTGTCCAACCTGCATCCATCTGTGAGCACGACGATGTTTGTCAAAGGTGTGTGAGGTCTGGGGTGACTGGATACTGAGCCTCTGAGCAGCTGCTGCCAGCAGTGGGATTAGACGCACTCAATGCATGCAGCTCATTTAAACAGATTATACAGGCCACTCTCCTGAGCCACACGCTGAATAATCCCATTATATTCCCTCACTAGGAGATTTTCTCTTTGCTTTCTGCTCCCTTATAGATTTGCTATTAATTACTGGCTGTTGAATGACTGTGGAATTAATTAGGGCAGATATTCATCGGGATGTGTGTGATCGTCACTGTGTCAAGCTGTTCTTCTCAATTTATGATGTATTAGGAAGTGTCAGGGCTGCCACGTGTACACAAGGAAAGTTTGTATCATTGCAGTAGAAGTTTCTGGATGTTTTCACACTTGGTTTGATTGTTTGGTTCAAACCCATGGTTCAGTACACATTTGTACCACAGTTCATCAGTAAATTAGTAAATTAATTACTAATGTTGGTCCTATATGGACCAATTTCATTTGTTCACTAACAGTGTCTAAAATGGGGCATACGTGCATTACAGGAAAATTCTCATGTTTTTATTTTATTTAGTTCTTTATTTATACATATTTTTTGAAGGTAATGAAAATGTTTGACCTCTTTGTCATTTCACAGTCATTTTCTGTGGTATAAATTATATTTAAAAACCTTTTTGGAATAAAATAAGGCTAATTTCACAATTAACATTTTATGTATCCTAAAAAAAAAATACAATTAAATAGTATTTTCACACCTTTTGTGTAATTTTACATAATTTTAGCAGTGAAGTGTTGGAGATGATGGTAAAACCATGGGACAGACGTATTTTTAATTAATTAATTTTTTTTTTTTTTTTTTTATATCTGTGTATGAGTGTGTGTGTGTGTGAGACTCACTTTGTTTAGTTTAAGCATATAAATATTCATATTTTAGTGGATTTCCATGAATAATGTTTAAAGTCTGATTGTAGTTCAGGGTAAAACAAGGTAATCTAAATTAAAAGAAATTTAGCAAAAAATAATAAAATAAACTGATTCCAAGTATTAAAAGACATTGAAAAAGTAGTCAAAATAAAACATGAAGGCATGGGTGAAAACAGTTTCCAAGACCTTTATACAAAAAAATTAAATAAGAAAGATAGAAGAAATAGAAGAAGAAAGGAAAAGTTTTAATCTGTTTGTTTTAATAAATCAACCAAATAATCAACCACTGAGACCCCTGGAACTATCCTGCAATAAAAGCACTGAGACATTTCTTACGAATGCTAAATAAAACTCTATGAATGGTAAACAAATCATAGATACTGATGATTTGACCAACCTTTGATGTCAAACTGACTTACATTCAGCCCAGAAGATGCAGGGCGAAAGCAGAATCAGGCTGACATGTGCTGTTCTAGAGTTCTGTGATATTGGGCTCAATACCATGTCTTGTGTCCTTCATTAGATCTACCCAGACGAAGGACACTTCATTCACAACGAGGGAACGCGGCAGCACCTCAGTCAATCGCTGGTCAACTTCTTCGAGGAGTGTTTCCGGCTCCCGGACCGAGTGTTCGAGGAGGCGCTAGAGGAGGAGAGCGAAGAGGAGGGTTAGTCCACCCGTTCCATGAAGTCCAAGCACAAAGCCAGCTCCTTTTGCCACCTGATATGCAACCCATAGATTTGAACCCTCCAGTTTTCAGTTCCCTCCCGGTGTCGCATGCTGACTCTGAGACCGCCCTGCCTCGTGTTCCTGCCTCAGCTCCCCTTCAGGTGCTCCTCACTATCCATCAACCCTCGACAGACCGCGGCCGTGCAGCGCGGCGTGGCATCTGGCTGGCGCCACATCGTCTCGCTCTCCCCTGCAGGCCAGTTAGGAGCTTCTGAAGGAATCTCTGGTCTGTCCATCTCACATTGACGAATGAGACGCTGCGATATTAACTGACCGCCAAGCGCGATGACCTTTGAATCCCTAAGAGCTGTGAGACTCGCAGCTAGACTGAGGGGTCATTCGGTGTTTGATTCAAATAGGTATCTGGTGTTTTGGGCAAAGGGATTGTTGTCGGGAGAACGTGTCATTTGTGGTTCAAAAGGTCTTCGCATGTCCAATTGTGCTCGTGTCTGGTGTTGCAATGTAAAGTCGCACATGAAAACCATTCACTTGGATATCGATAAAACTTGTTTTCAGTGTTCAAGCGTGTCCGAGTCTTGGAAATCTTGTAGCCTCAAGTGTGTATTTAGATGGTGTTTATTCATTGCAGAAACTTCATCAAGCAGAAGGGGAGCAAAAACGATTCGCATTATTCTCGCAGACCATGACAGTTGTACAAGACTGTTGATCCCACTTCTCAACGTGCGTTTCCTTGAAGTGATGGTCTGTCAGTGCTGAAGAAAGCACTCTATGTTGATTTAGTCACTGTGCCTTATTACGGGAGCGAACAAGCGTTTTCGAGGAGCCTCCTTGTGAATATCATCACTCATTCAAGGCTTACGTTGGATTGACTAAAATCCTGTATCTAAAACGCTCTTGTTACATTGTCGATGACATCACGGTATACATTATTGACTGTAATAGCATTGCGAAAACACTGTTATTTTCGTTTGCGCGCATGTGAGCCAGTGTTGTTTTAGCATCAACAAAAACAAACTCGCTCGCATTCTGCTAATAGCGGTTTTCCATCCACTTTAAGGATCGGGTAATGGAGCATGAAATTAAAATGTATGATTTCAACATTACCTCAGTATTAAACTAAAGCCCCTCTGAGGCTTTACAGACACTTTGTAGAACATTTGTTAATTCATGCCCAAAACAAATCTGTACATAAAAAGTATATTAAGTAGGGTAGGAAACACTTCTGTGTTAAAGGTTCACACAAAAACAACAATTCTGACATTGACTCAGCCCTTGTGGCGTTCCAAACCTGTATGACCGACTTTGTTTTGGAGAAGAAGAAAGAGATGTTTAGCAGAATGCTCATGCTGTTCTTTCAATACAAAGAATGTCAATGGAGTCGTTGAATGGAAACAAGTCTTCAGTGTTTCATAGAAGAAAGTACAGTAGGTTTTCCAGGTTTGCAGTGAGGTTGAGTGTATGTTGGCAGAATACGGTCCCTTTAACGCTCATGAAATACAGTACTGTGTAAATGTTTAACATTACAGCGGTGGAATTTTCATTATTTAAGTCACATATGCTATGTTTGTATGTTTTGCACAGTGCTGTATATGAACAGTTATTGGTTGTAACTTTTGCCTATAAAAGCTCTCGAGGATGAACTTTTATTTAGTTTGAATGAAATGTTCATGTTTGATCTTGATGCATTCATAGTGCATGTCGAAAAACCATTTGCAACTCAAAAGCTATTTTTTAAAAACCGTCAAATATCTGCATAGTATTTTTGACGGCTTGAATGTTCCGACCTGCATTTCATTACCGGTAGTTTTGTGAGTGAGATCTCAGTCTTGTCTGCTTGATATATAAATGTTACTCAAATCTCATTTAAGTCTCTGAATATGTGAGTGTTTCTTGTACATAAAGCGTTTGAAGGTATGTTGTTCTCCCGTGTTGTCGAGCAGAGCTCCGGAAGTCATGGTTACTACGATCTGAAATGAGCACTGAAAAATCACATGGGACCAAGAGAATGATGGGATTGCTGTTTACTGGCTCAGCAAGAACAGGCATATTTTGACACCTCTCAGAATACAAACTATTTTATCATCACCTTTGTTATGATTTGTTTTCCTCACTTGGAGAAAAGAGGATGAATATGTAAGCAACCAAAATAAACTGAAAGCCTTCAATGTTGATGTCCTGCTTTCTTGTGAATTAAGTAAATGATTGCATTTACATGCATGACCTTAAGACGACGACCTCTAAGGTCATCTTAGAAGGTGTTTTGTTTTATCTGGGAAAGGTCATAAATGGTTTAAATAAAACCCAATCAGCATATCTACATTTTTGCCTGTTCTCGATTCATCACGGTTTCTGTCAGCTTCTTCAATGTACATATCTATGTTTTAAAAATTGAAGGGATAGTTCACCTAAAAAAAGAAAAGAACATTTTATCATCATTTACTCATCCTTATGTCGTTTCAAACCTTTATGGCTTACTTTCTTTAGTGCAACATAAAAGAAGATATTGTGAAGAATGTTAAGCAAACAGTTGACTCCATTTTATTGAAGAAAAAAACAGAGATAGCTCAAAATGTGTATTTGACAGAGGAAATGTCATACACGTCTGAATAACACGAAGGTGAGTAACTAATGACAGAATTATTACTCAAATATGAACTGTACCTTTAAGAGGATAAAAAAAAAATGTCCTTGTGGGTTTTATTCATTTGTATTTAAACCTTTAAATAAGACATACTTAGCAACAACAGCAATACTATATAAGAGCAATAATCAATAAATTACTATATTAATAATATTCAAAAGAATTATTCCACCAAGTAATATTTCACTGTGTAACTGTAGGCTGTTACAGTAATTTTGTATATAATCCGTATAAAATAAAACATTTTGTGATAAGACTGGGAAAAGGTCAAATATAAGGCTAGTTCTTAACATGAAATGGATTGAAACTATATCCCATTACATTACTGCCACCTTGTGTTCAAATTGACAAAATGCGATTCGTGAGCCATAATGTTTGGGGTTTCTTGACAGATGTCACCATCTACTGGACATTAGCAGCTATTTCAGGTCACTGCACTCTCAGAAATGAGTCTTGTATCATAGTTTCTACTTCATCTACAAGCTTGCTGAAGTCAGCCTCACATACTACATGTGGATCATCTCCACTGTCTTTCATGCACTTCATCAGAGCTTCATGCATCTGCTCTCGGCCTCCAATGGTGCAGAGTTTATCCAATTGCTCAACAGGGTCTTGTGGGATACTTTGACACTGAAGGGCTTTTAAAACAGCCGGAGCAAACTTCCCATGGTGTGCAGTGGAGCATATCACAAGCGGGCAGGTTTTGTCATGTATACGATCGGCGACTACTTTACCAACCGCTGTGTGAGTGTCCATTATGTAGCCTCTTGTTGCGTGCACCTCATGTATGGCCCTCAAACAATCATCTTCTGAGCACCAACCAGCTTGAACTTCCAGATTTATCTTCTGACATAAAGTCTCTGATACTTTAAAAAAACGATCTCTTTCTAGATTCAAAAACAGATCTCTGACCAGACTCCCATCCCCGCCGGATGCGTGATGGATGAACCTCTCAAGGTTCGAGGATTTCAGGATATCAATGGCAGGAGAGTTTGAAACCAGCAGCTTCCTTTTGCGGAGATCATACGCTCCACTAGCGATGAAGTCGGATATGACGCAGTTATGATTGGACGCGCAGATCACCTTCCGTATGGGGATTCCCATTTGTTTGGCATACAGGGCTGACATGGCGTTGCCAAAGTTTCCAGTAGGGATGCACACATCAATGGGGTCTCCAAACGTCAACGTGCGATTTCTAAGCAGGTCCAAGTATGCCGAGCAGTGATAGACCACCTGAGGAAGCAGTCGAGCCCAGTTTATCGAGTTTGCGGTGCTGAGAACCGTGGCATATTCCACAGCTAAATGTCCGATCAAGCTCGAGTCCCCAAACATTCGTTTAATGCTCCTTTGGCAGAAGTCAAAGTCGGACAGGACACTAATGGACTTGGCATTGCCCTCCTGAAATCCTGTCATTTGTAGCTTCTGAATCTCACTCACTCCTTTCTCAGGGAAGAATACAAGCACGCCAATCCTCCTACGGTCACTGTCTTTAAGATTCTGGAAACCGTTTAGCACCGCACTTCCTGTATCTCCAGATGTGGCCACAAGAATCAGGTAGTTGCACATCTGTGGAAGGCAGTGGGCGAACAGCTGAGGCATTAACTGCAGTGCCAGGTCTTTAAAAGAAGCAGTGGGGCCGTGAAAGAGTTCTAGAATGTACTGATGATCAGTGAGGTGCTTTAGAGGTACAACCAATTGATTGGCGAAGTTCTGGCCATAAGCGCGATGCACCATTGAGCTCAATTCTACAGGGGACACATCCATAGGATGGATACAGTTTTCCAGTATGGCCAGAGCTCTCATTGCATATGGCATGCTGGATATTCTCAACCATTCAGAAGGTTCCAGTTTGGGGAATCCTTTCTTTGGTACATAAAGCCCTCCATCTGGTGCAAGACCCTCTATGACAACATCACTGAAGAACTTGGAGTCACTTGACATTTGGCTCCTTGTTGAAATGAACAGCTCTGATTCTGAATCCTCATATCTACCCAGAGTCCTCAGGACTTTATCAGCCACATCCTCCACGGAGTCTCCCGTCCCACAAAGGACTCGTGCATCCAGCCATTTTTCGTAAAACTCTTTCCTGTACTGTAATATCTCTCTCATAGAAACACCAGCATCCTGACCCACAATCCTATTCACCTTCATTCGAGAGAGTCTCTGCATGATATCTTCTGTGTCCACATCCAGATACAAAACCAGTCCAGATCGCTTCAAATGCTGCATGGAATCTGGATGCAATGGATTGGAGCCGGTTAGTGAGATAACACTTCCTGTAGCAGTGAAGTTACATACCGCTTTACCTTCTTCTTCAATGAAACCATCTCCACCGATCTCAGATAGCTTGTCTGCCACACTCATCCCCCATGTCCTTTCGAGAACATCGTCATCTATATCAATAACAGGCATCCCTAGTCTCTGTCCCACAATACGTCCAACACAGGTTTTCCCTGCTCCAGGAGGACCCATCAAAAGAATGTTTCTCTCATGAGGTTTAGAGATTTGATTTGATAGCCATGCTGTAGTGAAGTATGAAGAACCGAACTGAGAAAATAGCAGGTGGGTCCTCAGCTTTCTCACTTTAGCCAACAGCTGGCCGAAAGTTGCAGGGATCATCTTGGAAAAAAAGATCATACGATCTGTGAGGCAGAAATATGTCACAGAATTAAAACACGCCAGTAGATCTAGTAGAGAATTTACTAAAATAGATCTATTTCTGTATTCTGTTGATTTAATCTATTTAGTATGACTAATTTGTTTTAATAAACACTTAGGCCCTTCCCCAATTAGCACACTAAGCCCACGCGGTCTTCCTCCGAGTCCACATATTCTTGAATTTATTTATTCATGCTGTTTTGAATGGTGGGTAGGCTGTGGAGCGCCACAAAGGTGTGCATTGAAGGCGCAAAGGGGGCGCTCGAGAGCACCCTTCTCAACCCTAAAATGACAAATGGGACACCTGCAACAGGAGTCTCCAACCTCAATCAAACACACCTGAACCAGCTTATCAAGGTCCTTAGGGTTACTTGGTAATCTTTTCATTGCAATCATACATGCCAATTTCATGTGCAGAGGTGTTGAGACCACTGAAGCTATTTACTATGTACGTATCCTAATTTTGCTTGGATCATTTATTTTCCAAGGAGCCCAAACTCGCTGAGAGTACATGTCCTCCATTTGGTGTTTGAGACATTCTGAGAATTAATATATAATATTGACCTTTTTAAATACAGATAAATATCTTTTTATATATATATATATATATATATTAATTATTAATTAATACATTATTATTTTTATTTTTTTATTAAAATGATTAAATCTTTTGTAACATCAGAAATGTGTTTACTCCCATTTCAAACAATTTAATGCATTGTTGCTGAATCAAAATACCAAATAAATAAATAAATAATACTTACTTGACCTCAAACTTTTGAATGGTAGTGTATAAGAATTATACAATAGCCTACTTTTTATATTGCTAGAAATGTCTGATGACTTGATTTTGGCAGGCTCTGAAGAAGAACTGGGACGAGCTTCATCACCAGTACCAAGGCCTCTCTGTTGTCACAGACACAGCTCCAAAAAAATATAGGAAGGAGCGTCTGGAGCAGGAAATGAAGCAGCTGGAGAAAGATATTGAGCTGATTGAGCGACACAAAACCATCTACATTGCTAATAACTGAGCATGATGTTAGCTAGTCGCCCTGAATTCAGCAAATATCCAAGAACAACATTTGAAACGGGCAAAACTGCCACAGTGTCTTTGCTTGTCCTCTCTTATGGTACTTCAGAAATATTTTGAAAGGCTTCTGAAGAGCTTTACAACAATACGTCTGAGTGCAATAAAGATCGCTTTAGATCAACTCAATAGTCTCTGAGCGATTTAATCCATTTAAACTCAACATGAAATCAAAATGAACCACATTTATTTTCTTAAAGTTTTCAGACCGATGAGCTTTGTAAAAATCAACGTGTTTCAGAAAGGCGGGGCATAGAGGAGAAACAATAATGTACAGTATGTGGAAAATAATGTTGTTGTTTTTTTAACTTTAAACCGCATAAACACATTTCATTACACCAAATACACAAAATAATGTTCTTCTTAGCAACATCATATGACCCCTTTAATAAGGTATGTTTCTGTTCTTGTTCATGATTCATCAGTGAATATTATTCAAAAAAATATAATAATGTCTTAATGTTTTATCAGAACATTTATCACCAAGGCTGCATTTATTTGATCATGAATGAATGAATACATAAACAATTAAAATCTTACAAAGTTTTGATCAGAAGTGTAAAATTGTTTGTTGAACCTACTTTTTTTCTCTCTCTCTCTCTCTCTTGTTGAATATTGTAATTATCAGGAAATATGCATTGGTGTTGATTAGTAGTAATTTTATTACAATGTAGTGTTATACTCTTGTCAGGACAAACATTATAACACTTAGATTACTGTATCTTTGCATTCAGAGTATTTCAGAAAATTCAGAGCAATAAGCGAGTCTTTCATGAAGGAGATTCTAAAGTATCTGTTCTCCAGTAATGAGCAGCATGACATCAGTTAAACATCTAATGTGACGCATGTGAAAGAACAAAATACTATTTCTAAAGCCATAAAAAAAATGTAAAAAAAACTTTGCCCATGTCTATCAAA